ATGAGGAGCTGGAACACGGTAGGTTGGGACTGCTCCCGCCCAGCAGCCCCTGCTGACCGCCTCAACCTCCTCAGAGGAAGAGAGGTAAACTCGTGCTCTCACTTGAGAAAATTTATTTTATTTTTATTTTTTTATCCCAAGTGCCCCTGTATATCTAACTTCTCATAGTCAGATAAATACTTCATTTTATTCCTCAGAATTAAATGCAGTCAAACAACCAGAGGAGTAAATACGGTCTGGTGAGTAAGATTCACATCAAAAACCGAATGATGTAATATAAGCGAGCCGCTCAGTCACACCAACAACATCAATCTCCTCAGAGAAAGATGGCCGCATCAGCAAGCTCTCTCTCAGAGGGGGAAGAACTGCAGCGCGGGAGGGCTTCCGAACCCCGAGAGCGGGCGCTGGATCTGGTGGTTAAGGAAGAAGATAGGGACTCGCCCGTCTACATTCCCTCCACTGGATCCATATGCGAAACCCACGAGCACAGCCGCCGCTCCGTCTCGGCGAAAGCGGGGCCGGTGCCGCGAGAAACGCCGGTGAAGACTCCGTCCTCAAAGAGAGCCCTCGGAGAGCAAGGATACGCAGTGACAAACGCTCTCAATGCGGGCAGTCAGCGGACTCTGCGTGTTTTGCTCCCACTTTTAGCAGACAACACACAAACTGTGTGTATCCCCACCCGAAATGTAGCGCGGGCAGGGAAGAACACACAGCCTAATATACTGCCAGCTCTCGCCGTATGTTTGTCTACACTCGTATTGGTAAAATAAAGAATGATAATGGACAGACAACACCAAATAAGACTGACACACACAGAGCACTTGCTTAATGACAGAAAGCCGACGCTGGTTTCACCGCACGTGCTTTTATACTTCCTGGTCGCTATGTCACCCCGCCCGTGACGTCTCGCCCATCCATTGGACTGATTACACATATGATTCAGAGCGTGGTCACGCTGGAGGCGTTCCCGTAGCGTTTCGACGCAGCTCGAGTTCCTGAAGGGGAACATTACAAATCTTACTGATCCCAAACTTTTGAACGGCAGTATAATCAAACTATTTGCAAAGCTTTATTGGATACGTAGTTCGTTAACTAAAAATGTGCACAGTATTACAGTATATTTTTATTATTTATAACTTGAAATCAATGGAAAATGCTGAAATCATCAGTTTCAATGGGACTGGCTAATGCTATGGATTTTTCCGGGAGGGCACAAAGTTTTTTTTGTTTTTTTTTTAAAGTCTGCCAGTATGCAATGTTGAAACAATAAGCACTTATCACACCAATCACCGAAACTTCCCATGACATCATGTTATCATCTTTTTCAGATAAATCCGGCCCTACAAGTGAAAACCATCAAGCTGTGGTGAGTCCATCATGTCAAAGTGGACCAGAGTGTGTATGCTCATAGTCTAAAGTCTGGCTACGTAAGAGTAAGACTAGATGTGCACAAATGCACTTACTGTACACTATAAAAGTTACATTGCATGTTTGTGATGTGAAATTGTGTGGTTTGTTTCAGTAAAATGACAATCTCTTCATCTACTATGAGTGAACTATGCTGTTTGTCATGAAAACCCTAGGCAACCTCTCTCATGTTGCATGTAATGACTGACTGAGTGTCCATAAACAAGCTATTGTCATCATGCACACACTGTGTAAATTTTACAGAAGCTCAGCTGAAGTGGTGTACTTCACGGAGTCAGTCAGCAGCTTTTGTAATATTAATTGCCACGGAACTTGTTCAACGAAGCGCAGAATGGGCGAAATCATGCATACAGCATAACTTTGCATGGCTTCCTCCATCCTATTAAGAATATCATCAAGGGCATCTTTATTAAACTCATAATGAAAACAAGCAAGGCCACGATATGACTGAGGAGAATACAGTTGTGTGAAGAGAATGGAACAGTTCAAGATAGTTTATACATTAACAATCTATAGATTCTATTTTTTTATCAGAGGCACAGTTGTGCTTTTTCCACATATTAGCATTCCGTTAGCCAAAAGTATAAAACAGAACTTTTTGATTTTGAAAAGTGTGGTGCCTGCCATACAGTTTTATCAAACCAATAGTAAACTACCACAATTATGTAAGAAAATTGACAATGACACAGTTTAGGATCATTGTACAAAAACATCTTAAAGTGTAATGCTGAAATTGACCTATCAGGATCAAGTATTTGCAGGAAGCGATGTACTAAAGTCTATGCTAGGGCAGGGTGGCATGATATGTGTGCAACAGTAGAGATTTTGCTATACAATGAGTAATAGAGCAAGAGCAAGACACTTCTCAAACCAGTCAAGATGAGGAAGAACTTATTAGTAAATGGCGTGATGCAAAGTGGCGCAACAGAATTTAGCAGAGGTGCCATCACAGTTGTGTGGATTATACTGCATATTTTATAACAGGCTGGATTTTGGCTCATCTAATCAGAATTTAGAGTTAGAACAATCTGCTGGTTTGTGTACAAGTATCAAGTTATATTAATTGACTAAAAAAGTATATAATAAAAATAAACCAATAAACTGTATTGTGACAAAGACTATGATACAAGACTCATGATATAAAATGCAGCCCAAGTTCATTGAAAATACGTGCTTGTGGCAACAGTTCTTCAACACTGATAAGCGGCAAAGTTTCAATACGTGACCGTGGCCACATTTTTATTACGTTGGTACAGGCACTTATTGCTGCATTTTTATTACATTGCTTCAGGTACGTATTGCTCTCACATGAGCTAATTCACTAACATACTAAAAAGCAGTGAGAACTTTAGACATTTTACCTATCTTGTCTAGACCTCATGGTCTGCAGTGAAAGCAGCATATTAGGTCATTTCTACTTGATGAACTGATGTCTTCTCTTGTTTTATGATTGCGTAGGTTTAAGTGGGGGTCTGTTAGAAGTGTACTTACAGACTGCATTTTTGTGACTTGTATCCTTGCTCGGGAGCATTTTCACCCCTCTAGATTTCAGCTCGATGGCCTTCTTCACTGTTGGGAGAGGGTAGAGGTGAAGTGTGTGGAAGTGGAAATCACAATCCATTTATACAGTTAGCAAAACCTGTCGAGTACCCAAGAGTGCCAACACCTCATTGAATACGAGCAATCCTCTATGAATCAGTCTTGCATGGGCCATCAAAATTAGTCCTGATGGGCAGAGGTATTTTCATATTTAGCAGAGGTAGATCTTCAATGATGGGCACACTTTGTTATCCGACACACAACTATCATTCCGGCATGCAATTATTGGACACCCTACCAATATTTGCATCATCTGGAGCCAATTTAGATTTTAAAGCATTTCTGAATTCCGTCCTGTAATTATGTCATGTAGGATGCCAATTACGACCTAGGCAGGAATCATGAAATAAATTCACCTTGCATAATTTTGGTCTCTGTATGACATCCGAATCCGTGTATCATTTGATCATTCGTTTTTTGATTTAATATTGAAAGTAGAAAAATTAGAAAACGGCTCCTTTTTCGTTTTTTTTGTTTTTTTTTCCAAAAAACGAAAAAGGAGAATTCAGCTTAAATTTTCATTTTTCGTTCATGGGTGGAAAAATTAATAAACAGCTTGAATAATCGATTTCTACATGTGGGTGGGAATTAAACGCCCCTTTCTGCTGATTGGTCAGCCGAAGATCAAACCGTGCCATCATCAGTTCTTCCACAGTATCAGGCAGCAGAATAATAGTCCTCCACTGCTCCAGTTGTACGGATTAATAACCCATGCGTTAAGAATCCATACAACTGCAGCAGTGGAGGACTATTATTCTGCTGCGTGATACTGCAGAAGAACTGATGATGGCACGGTTTGATCTTCGGCTGACCAATCAGCAGAAAGGGGCGTTTAATTCCCGCCCACGTGTAGAAATCGAATATTCAAGCTGTTTGTTCATTTTTCCACCCATGAACGAAAAATGATAACTTAAACTGAATTCTCGTTTTTTTTTTTTTCGGAAAAAAACGAAAAAGGAGCCGTTTTCTAATTTTTCTACTTTCAATATTAAATCAAAAAACGAATGATCGAATGATACACGGATTCATCCGCCCCATCAGTGGGCTTTAATACAAGGTGTTTTTATTTTAGTAAATATGATAGACACAATAAATGAGAAATCAATGTGGCAAAATAACAATTGTTTGTTGTTAGAAATTATCCTTTTAATTGTATTTCAGGAAAGCGACCTTTACTATTCCCTCAAACCACCACAGAATCAGAAAGCATATTTTCTGTAACTGAACTAAAAATTGTTATTGGTCGGAGATAAATATTAAAATTTTATACCAAACATTTCATAAATCTATTACTTAATCTATTATCTCTAAACTGTATAAACACACACGGTGATTAGTACAGTAGTACTGTGTGTACGCGCATGTCCAGAACTGGTACAGTGCTTCAACCTTGCTAGTCTGGTCAGGCATTATACATTCCAAAAATATTTAGGCCTAAATTTAAGATTTATGCATTTGATTTGCATATAAAATTTCCATCCATTTGGATTACATAGTGTTAACACAAACAAATTAAATGTACAATTTTAACTTAATGTGATCATATTTATCAGTCATACAGTACATAAATGAAACGAGTAAGAAACATGTAAGATGTATGTTACAGTATTAATAAACAGAATGTGTTTTAAGTTCATAATAATCAGGTTTACATAATTGTCATCAATAAAACCAACTTGTTTCAATCACATACATTTTTAATAATCGAATGTTGCTTGTTCCACAGCTAGTCATATTTTAACTATGTTCATACTTTTAAACTGAATACATTTAGTTATTTTCACAATGAACAGATTTATGCATATTCTACGCATTCTGAATAAATGCATTTTAAAAATATGATTATTTCAATAAAATCAAATAGATACAATACAATTGAGGTAATACTAAAATAAGCCATGCCAAGCATAGGATTTACATTCTTCTGAGGATTTACATTGATCCAAATTGATGTAAAATTTTTTCTTAATTTCTTAAAATCTTAAAAGCCATAAATATTTTAAAGTATATTCACATTTAACATGTAAAAGTCAACATTGTATTAAACTTAAGCAAATTCAGATGATACACATTTTGTCATTTAATATGGATTAAACTGATCACAAATTAAATTATAACCCAGGTGTGATTTTTTTTTTTAATCCTCATGTTTGTAAAAAAAGAGAGAGAGAGAGACTTTTTACTGTCACCTCAGAAAAAGGTGCTCATGTTCAGCTCTAGCTATTTCTAAGTGGTTAAACTGACGGTGTTACAACCGTTCCCATTCTCACCTATTCATGCACCAAGGCTGTGGCCATTTTCAATCCATTCTAAGCATGCACATAATTTGTAGTCTACACAAATTGCAATACTTCAACTGTGCATATATTTTTGTCATATAAAAGAAAGTGCATTTATAGCCAGTGCTCTAAAATGTAACAAATTTAACAAATCCCCTGAGATTCACGGCATCCCTCGCTTATTATGCAAATAGAAAACACGATCATAAATGCATATCATGAAAATGATTTAAAGCGCCTCATCTTGCGTTATTCACGTTAGAACCATGAATTCCCTCACTACTGTTGTGACTGATTTCTCAATTTAAAAAGGGGTAGGGGGTGGGGGGTGGAGGGGTTCAGTGCGATGCTCTAATCATCATTCCAGCAATGTGTCTGTACACTTAGAGAAGCCAAGATGTCATTTTTAGCTACAGCAGGACACGCCAAGGGATGTGTTGTCTTTCACTGCCAACTGTCCCACATCTGCCAATGATGAGCCCTCCTCTCCTCCAGTGTCCTACACACACTGACCCCTTACCTTGATACTGGGCACTAAATCCTTTCCTCCGATGGTTGCTGTCAGATGTGAAGTGAAGCCGCAGCCAATTCTTGCTACTGATGACAGGGGATGGCAAATTCATTCCAGTCAGCCTGAAAAGAAACAAGATATTCATTTCATAGAACAAAAAAGCAATTAAATTCAACTCTAAAATCTGAGTTTCATTACAAAATTGCATGGAATAAATAAGAACAGTTTTGCTCAGATAAGGGTTACCAAAAAAAAAAAAAAAAAACCTTAAGTTGAACATAGATGTAGTTTCACATAAACAATTCAAATGCAATTATTTAAACATTCCCTATTCTTATTGTAACCTTCCCAAAATATCCTTTATATCGTATTGGAGAACTAATTAACATTTTTGGGAAACACAACAATTCCAATTTATTTAATTTAAATGGGAGATTTAATAAAATAAAATAACATTTATTTTTTTTTTTTTTGGTAAAGTCATACTCCATTTACATTCCAAACCATTACTTCTGAACTTCTGATTGTGGGAATTTAATATCAAAGTTTGATATTTTTGTTACTTATATACTTATATTCTTTTTAGCATGCCAAATGATTTTATCCATATTCCTCATTCTATTATTCCAGATAATCATGCCAGAGATGAACAGAATAGTTAATTAAATGTACTATGCAGACTTGAGTGAATTTGCATCTCCTAATTATGCTTCTTGTCAGCTGAACTGCATTTCCATTTCAATATTTCAATTCCCTGCAGTGTGCCGCTATACTTCTTTTATGAGACGTGGACACCCAGTGGCTTTTCTGCTTCTTTCTAAAAAGCATCTTGACATATGGATGATCAACATCTCACTTTAGTACACATGGAGAAGTCACTGGTAAAATAAAATCTAAATATATTATTGTATTGCCTTGTTTTCCTCAACACAAGCTTTGATGTCATTAGGATTTCTTGTGTTTTTGACCTGCTGCTGTTTCCATAAGGGTTATTTTTTTCATATTCCAGGGTGCCTATTAAAACTTCACCTTCACCTTGTAAAATGCAAAGTGTGTAAACTTTATGTTCCTTATCGTGTGTGTGTTCATTTTAAGGAATTATCATGCAAGGGTTAGTTTGAAGCCGTGACAGTAATGGTTTGAAACACACGTGTGATGCACTACTAGGGCACAGCTACAGTCCTGGAGCGATATTTCTTCATCTTTTAGCTTTGTTTTTCTGATTATTTTGTCCTTTTGATTGCCAAACATTCAAACAAAATGACTGCAGAGGATATTTATCTGAAATATTAAATCCAAAATTCGAAAGGAAGGAAAAATGGTCACAAATCAAATACAAAACTAAATCCAATCAAAGCTACACAGTTTTGACAATAATCATTCATATCCTTAACAAGCATTAATGATGACAGCTACAGCCCAGTCATTAGTGTATAATTTAATATTCCATCCCAAATCAGAGCTTCATCTCCTTGATGAGGAGACTATTTTGTTTTTGGCACTGAGATCTGAGAGGAGTCTGAGATATTCTCTGTGTAGCATGAATGTGAGTGAATCTCATGAAACCTCTCAAGAACATGTCCAGGTCACATTTCTTGAAGAAAACAAAGCTTATTTTCAGCTTAATTTGTATGCAAAATATAATTTTGATTTCCTTTTGTTGATTCAGGGGTGATTCTGTGAGATGCACCTTTATTTATTTACATACTTACTGATGTAATCGCCAAAGCTCAATTAATTTTGTGGGGAAATAAAATCAACAAAATGAGCTGATTACAAACAAGAGGCAGGCCTATGTTCCAAACATTGAGCTGACAGGGGCTTGGTGGTGCTGAATGCAATAAGTGAAGTAAAGCCTGTCTGGCACAAAACGGCAGTGACTTGCACTTGACGCAGGCTGCTGCGTGAAGCCCTCATTTCTTTTCAAGAAAGTAGAGTTCAACAGTGCATGAAAACCAGGTTGAGCTGAAGTGGCAAAGGAGTAAGAAAGCAAAATGAGTGTGCTTTACAAGAGGCAGGCAGGCAGGCAAAAAAAAAAAAAAAAACACATACAGAATAAGACTGCCGGTGCAGATGAAACTAAAGCTGAAACATTGGGAGAACAACAGCTAAATGTGTTAAATATAATTATTTAAAAAAAGATGAATAAATAAGATGAATTTTCAAACAATAAGGGACAAGAATCAACTTTGCTTTAATTAAATCTGACAGAGTAAAGATGTCAAAATAAACTTGACTGTGCAAGTTTGATCCCAAAGAATCTTCAGAAGCATTAGGAGGTGGATTTTACACATTTACGGACACGTTCAGACCCTTGACAGTTTCTGCTTGAACGCTCAAGTCAATTGTTGGGTTGAACACCATTTTACAATGTGCAGTGTTCAGGTTTCTATGCGCAAGTTTGTATATGGTTCATCTATATCATATACATACGTTGAAAAGTTCATGATAATCATTATAGGTAATAGGTCTCAAATTTCTTTAAAGCAACCGTGCATAGATGGTTTTCTAAAGAATTAGAGAATGAAAAAGTTATTTACATGTAAACTGCAATAATATGCTGTAACATAATTTTTGTAACTATAATTTGCAAAACTGCCAAAGAAAAGGAAAAAAACAGCATCAACAACAATAATAATATGATATTTTATTAGTCTATTTATATGACATGTGTCATGTCATGATTATGAAGGTGCCATGTCAGTCTTATGCACACCCCTTCAAGTAAAGTGTTACCTATTATATTTTACATACTACAATACAAACGATATATGAAGTACATTTAGTAGTAGTAGTAGTAATAGTATTGTTGTTGTTGTTGATGTATTTAGATTTGATGAAATGTGATAAATTATGATGCTGGGTTTAGGGAAGTCATACATAAATATTGTGTTGAGCAGCTGAAGAGATCTAAGGTCTTCAAAGATAATGGCCTTTATTTTATTCACAAGGTGTAGCCAAATGTATTGCCAAGCTCTGGCAACAGAGTCAGAGAGGTCAAGAGAGCAGTCCCACTTTGATGACTGCTGGCAATAACTGCAGAAAATGAAGTCCACAGACAACATTATGAGCAGCACTGACAGAGGGGAGTGAAAAAAAATAAAAATAATAATCCTTTGAACTGCAGATTCAGACTAGATGTTCTTTCAAAAACCTCACCATGATTCCTTAAAAAAATCTGTGAGGTTTATATTTGGCATCAAAAAATGTTTAATGCATTTGAACAGTATCAATGGGATAGTTTTTGGTCAATGTGGTAATGTTGATGCATAAAGAAAGCATAAAGCCACCAAGAATGATAAATGTAATCATAAAGCTGTATAAAACTTAAAATAATAATAATAAATAAATAGAATCCAGTAAGAAAATATTATTTTCTACAGAAAATAGACTCCACTCCACTCCACTATAATGATAATGGCAGGAATAGATAGATAGATAGATAGATAGATAGATAGAGATAGATACGTAGATAACATATTTAGATAATATATTGAAATCATTTTCAAAGTAACTTATAGTGATCTACAGCACTCTTTAAGCATGGTAAAATCACTGTAATGCACTCAAGTCAATTTACTTTTATGCAGAGTTTGACACTGACAAAAGAGACACCCTGAGTTTTTCTTTTGTCCTTCTAACTGACAAAACTTGACATGACAGGTCTTCCGGTGTCTGTCCGTAAAGCCCTTGCTCTGGAAATTGCTTTGCAGAAGTCAAAGTAATCAGTAGGTTTAATCAGAAGATGATCTCTAAACATTAGCAGTAAACCGGATTTCCCATTCTACTTCTGACTACAATTGGCCAATGTGGCCGTTATCTGATTACCTTGAGTAGACTGTGTATTAAGTGTGGATTTGTGCACACATTGTGATTCTAGAAATATTTCAAAATTCACAAATGTGTGCTGTGATCCAAAAATGCACAGGAAGCCACCTGCAAATGTACAGGACGTGATCCACAAATAAATTACAGGCAGAGTGGTGTGACATAATAACATATTTGTAAATATTCTGCATATCATCTTTTATTTACCTTCAAATTGAATACATTTTTGTGAAACCCCTAACATATACTTATGGATCTCATTCCACTTATTTGTGAATTTGTTTAATTTTTGTGAATGTCTTTACATCGATTTGTGGATCATAATCTAATTATCTGCAGTATTATATTTAAATAGCTCACTCAAACACCTCAAAAGTACTCAAAAGACAAAATTGCTTTGTTGATGGTCTCAACATCCCACAATTCTTCAAGATTTCACTTTCATGTCGTGGCATTAGGTTTGCCCCCTGTTTATCGGGAAACGGAGTGACGCATGGGAGTTTGATTTTTACCGATTTTGATTTTATTGTTAAATCAGTTTTGAATAATTAAAAAAAAATTGTCATACTTAAGTACAATAAACATCACATACTTTAAAACTTTAACTCAAGTAATATTCTTAACGGTGACTTTAACTTCTACCAAAATCATTTTCTGGTGAGATATCTGTACTTTTACTCAAGTGTGGCTTTCAAGTACTTCATACACCACTGCAGATACTGTATTATCCAAATTGTTTTGATTTTTAAAATACAAATTTGCTTATTTTCCATCAAGCTGTTTTTTTTTTTTTTGTTTTTTTTTTGCAAATAAAAATTACATTTAATTTTCACATTGGTCTGAACAAAAATGGCAGACAGGGCATGTAAAATGTAAATCCACTCTCAGAAAGTAGGTGGCACTTATGGAACAGCAAAAAAACAGAGCTGTTTTCCCAGTGATCGCTATGAGGGACGCAATGAGGGTCTGAAGCTATGAGGGTCTGAAGTTCAAGCACAGTAAATTGGCCAGCTGCACAGTGTCTCATTCCCTATACCTCTGAGAACCGAGGTTACATGCATAACTAGAGACATTCCCTTTCGATTGCAGTTCACTCTAAATTGTGTCAGCAGCTAACACTATGACAAACAGTGACCACAACACCGCATTACTTTTGTAAGATCTGAACTAGCCTCTGTGGGCAGCATATACCAAAATATACACATATAATATGGTACTATAGAACAGTACAAACCAGGGAGGTTGCACAAGCACTTTACAACTGGCATTGGGAAGATGAGATTACAATGGCCAG